GGGCCATCAATATATGTGACGGTGCTCCAACAACTGACGTAAGGTGGAGATGAGGTCAATGCAGCCACGACCTCGACGAAACCCGGCTTGCTCTTCACGGGTTTGGCTTTCACAAGTGCCAGTCAGTCTGTGAAGGATGACAGAGCCAAGCAAGTCGGAGGTGATGGAGATCAGGCTGATTCCTCCATGACCGCCGAATTATGATCGTGAGTCTCTCTTGAATATTGGGACTATGACAGAGCAGGTCCAGTCGGTTGAGGCCGCTTTCTGCTCCCACAGTTTCACTAGGAACTCGCATAAATCACCCACAAGAGCAGGTCCCCCGAAATTATTAAGGGCCGAAGTAATATCATCTGGTCCTGCGGCATTATTTAACTCCAACAGTCCGATATCACGTTCGACTTCCGAGCGAGTGGGCGGATCCAAATGGACAGCTCACGGAGCAGGGCGATCACTGGCTGGCGAGAAATCTAACAATTCCGACCGATCAAATTGCTTTTTAAAATGCTCAACCCAAGGCTCCAAGCGTTTTGACAAGTTGTGGATAGGCTATCCACTCTCGTCAGGAACACTTTCAATAACACCAGGTCTCCAGCTGCCCGCTTCTCGTATCAGCTGAAATAACTTACGATGGTTACCAAGGGCAGTGGCCATTTTCATCACTGAAGCACGATGAGATCACCAGGATTCGCGGTCTCTATTCAGGCTAGCACGGTTTTGCCCGGAGTTTCCTGCGAGTCTGTGTTCGCTTGCAGCCGGAATGTGCCGACGAGCAACAATAAGTTCCAGAGACGGCGAAGAGACCCAATGTCCATGTTGGCGATTAGACTTACCACATGAGGATTTGCCTGCTGCTAGTAAGGTCTGATGAACATGAGACCAGTGAGCTTCAATTGCATCCAGTGGGCGCTTACTCAACTCGCATGTCAGCGTACTTTGATAGGTATTCAGAACAGCTGGATTCGCCAGTCTGCCTGGTGTCAATGCACTTTCAGCGTCGTCGTGGGCGTCCGCCAAAACGCATCCGCAGGTCAGCACATACAAGTGCATGGTCGGTGTTCACACATGTGCTCCAAATCGAGCGACAATTCTGGATGCAGCCTCTCCAGCGGTAACTGATAACAATGTGATCGATCTGCGTCCAAGGCTGGTTCGAGGCTGGTGGGCGCCAAGTCACCCTCCGGCTGGTGCTGTGTCGGAAATTAGTGCTCGTAAGAAATAGGCGGGCATCTTCACGCAAATGAAGTAACCGCTCACCGTTATCATTACGGGAGACTACACCATGTTGGCCGCCCGGATGCAATTCATCAGTGGACAACTTTCCAACTTGCGCGTTCAGATTCCCAGCCAGCACAACAGTGTCCGAGCATCTTCAGCGGCGAAGGAGCTCGTTCAGTTGGCGGTAGAAGTCGTCTTTTACAGAATCATCGCCAGAGTTTGTGGGTGCACAGGCAGCCATGATGAACAGACACCTGGTAGTCCCGTGCGGCTTCGAAGCTTTGAACGAGCCAGCCAATCGGACCGCACACATCCGGCTACTGATTGGAATCCAATCAACCAGAGCAGCTTCAGCCCGGGGACTCAGAGCACTATCAACACCGGCTTGGCCGGTGCTCGAAGGTGCATCGTCACTGGATAGGTGCAGTGAGAAACTGCAGCTGATGTCACCTGAAGGGGATCGCAAAGTGAGCACTGAGCTCGAGCATCGCAGGCGGGTCTCCGATAAGCAGCAGATATCGATCGAGAGGTTCTCCAGTGTTCGGGCAAGTGCTGCCTGTTGACCGATCTGTAGCAATGTGCGTACACTGAGGCATGCCAATCTGAAGGATGATCGAGGGCTCCAAATGGAAGCCGATGAACTGGGCTTGGCCACTTGCTTGGACATAGGCTTAAAGACAGGGTAAGAATAACGCTCCGCGTTCACATATGAGCTGAAACAAGGAGGTAAAAGCCTATCAAAGCAAGGTGGGGGAGGGCCAAGAATTGGGGGTTGAAAACGGTGGGGACAAAAGTGAAGCTGGAACGAGACGATAAAAGTGAAAAAGCCTAAGAGGGGAATAAGAAGATGGGAAGGCTTTGGTAGTAGCATCCAAACCCTTATCCACCCTGCTCGATACAGCAGATAAGGCACTGTTGATTATCCTCTATGGTAGCCAGAGCATCAGAAAATTGCTTGACAAATGATGTATAGTATTGCGTGGGCAGGATCCTGTCAGGATGCCCAGGCCTAAACAGGAGAACGATTAGGGTTCTCAACCAAAGGCTCTGGTTCAAAAACCTGACCACAAGGCAGCGGGTTTGGCATTTGGCTACAAGGAGTCCGTCTTAAGAAATAAGGAGACACCCTCATTCCAACCCACAACCTGAAGGAACAGAAGGCTGAGTTTGTTTGGCCTCTAATCATTGACCAATCTGGTATGAGTGGCTCTGAGGGTGCAAAAAAGCACCACCCAGCATAGCTCAATGGATAGCTGAAGCACGCAAATCATCGCACCACGGTAAGGTCCCACCTCATTGCGATTATACAGGCTGTCTAATCCTGCATTGCCAAAGCTGAGCTTTCTAACTCGTATGCGCATCCGTTACTCCTTCGATCATCATTAGCGCTATTACACAGGTGAGTTATTGGTGGAAAACACCTCAGCTGCCGTGCCGCAATACATAAGAAGAAAAACACGCAACAGGCATGACGGCTGAATAGCCAGTGACGAAATGGCATCGTTCAGGAAAACTACCAACCAGCCATTCTGCCACAAAAAGTTTACATTATCCGAAGTAACTGAGATCGTAGTTGGACGGTGAGGCTAAGCGGCAGGGAGAGGGGAAAAGAAAATCACAACACCAACGCCATTGAGGTCGGCTCCTAGCCAGGTCAATAAATGTAACCATCCAAACGTGCTCATCGTCACCCGGACCCCAACCAGGGAGCCGAGACGCTCCAACCGAGACCCACTTTGAACTAAGGGCCTTCATTTCTCTTAATCAAGTCATTGATTGACCACCTCTCCTCGTCTTTCGTCCACACCCACGGCGAGCAAACAGCGCAGGTCGCGGGACCCGGTGGGCTGGCATGCGTAACACATGACCCAGTCACCGGAGTCTGGTGCGTGATAACGGTTCTGAGCGGTTCGCTTCTTCACCCCATGCCATAAACAAGGGCTTGAACACGCTCAATGTTCACACGATGTTCCCACCAGATATGAGCCAAACTGCGAAGGCACCGGTGGTCGAACGTAACTAGCCTCTTGGTGTCTGTCGACCTGATGGGTCAGGTTTCACAATCGTATAGCAGGGTCATACGCACGGCTGCGTTGTACACTCTACCCCTCCATGGGAGGGTGATGTCGCGCCGGTGCCATGGGTGGCGAAGATTATCAAAAGCGTACTGAGCTGTTGACATACGGTTCGTGATCTCGTCTTCGATTCTAACGGCGGTGATACAACTGCCTGAAAAGTTGACTTCCTGAACGACTTCCAGCTGATCCGCACCAAAGGGTCAGCGCAGGAGGCGGTCCAAGCCAATAATGGAGAAAAGCTTTGCACTTCGAGGGTGTAAAGAGAAGGCCGAAACGGCTGACAGACAGCGCTAATCGGTCTAGTGCAGCTTGGCACGTTTGAAAGTTGTCACAGATAAGGGCAATGTTCTCAGCATAATCCAAGACAAGAAGTCATTCACCTGAGAGCAACTCCACACCTTTTAAACCATGTCCTGTGAACGCGATCTCTATGATTTCTTCAAAGGGCACGTCGACTAAACGAATCGAAGGCCCCCATGATGTCGAGGAACACAATTACGACGGGCCATCAACATGTGACGGTGCTCCAAAAACTGACGTAAATTGAAGATGTGATCGATGCAGCCACGACCTCGACGAAACCAGGGTTGCTCCTCACGAATCTGGATCACACATCAATCTGTGAAGGATTACAGAGGCAAGCAATTTGGAGGTGGTGGAGATCAGACTGATTCCTCCATGACTGCCGCATCCGGAACGTGAACCTCCCTTTAAGATCGGGAAGATACCGGAGTGGTTCTAGTCAATTAAGACAGCTTTCTGCTCGCACAGTTACACTAGTAACCTGTGTACATCGTCAACAAGAGCAGGGCCTTGGAATTTGAAGAAGGCTGGATGAAGACCACCTGGTCCCGCGGCTTTATTCTACTTCAGCAGTCGGATCTCCCGTTCGACATCTGAGCGGGAGAACGGATGCAAGGGGACAGCCATGGGAGAGTGTCAATCAGTGGTCGGTGAGAAAGCCAACAAGTCCGGCCGATTAAATTGCCCTTCAAAGTGTTTAGCTCAATGCTGAAAGTGTATTGACAAGTTGTGAATAGGCTGTCTACTCTCGTCACGAATAATCTCACTAATACCAAGTCTCCTACTGCCCGTTTCCCGTATCAGACTGAATAGCTTCCGATGGTTACCAAGGGCAGCGGCCACTTCCATCTCTGAAGCACGAAGAGACCACCAGGATTCGCAGTCTCTCTTCAAAGACACAAATAGAAACAGTCGGACGGCGGTGGATGCAAACAATCCCTGTAATTGGGCAGTCTGTCGTGAAATGACCATTTGTTAAGGCCGTGAGGAATGACAGAACATGACCATAGAAGTGCGTCTAATTGGTTAGCGCTTGATATTAAGCTGGAAGACGACTTTCAACAGTTTTCAGTGGCTGATCACGGATACAATTAATGGGCCTTTACAAAATGCGTGTGTTTCTAGATCATATGCACGATTGAATTCAAGGACCACGGAATAAAAACGACTATAACACTATCAGTAGCGGTGGCGAATTACCGCTTAATCAATCACAAAGTAACCAACTAAATAGCACCATCAATTAACTGGTCGTAACTAGTTTGAAGACCATCAGGTGCAAATAGTTGTGGTACAGTCCGTATAAATCCCTACCTTATGTGGTTTTCCCATCGACAGTGGTGCAAATGAAGGAATCGTGTAGGCGAACTATCACATCATAGTGGCAACAAATCGACTCACCCACAATGTGCCGAAATTCGCTGACCATCTTCTCCAGCTGGTTTCCACCCAATAGGTTGATTGCACCCACAATCAGTATGTCAGCATCCGTGAAAATAGTATCATCGAATGGCTAAAAACAAGCAGATACTGAGCATCGTATGGCATTCACAGGGTCCAAATAAAGTTTAACTAGAGACCAAAAGCTGCCAAGTAGGAAAAATAGAATCATTTAAACCGCGCGAGGCCATCACACCCGCCTGTTCCATGCCCCACAACAAAGGGAAGAGCGAAATCAACCGCTCTGCATGCAATTGTGCGTGCGTCAACCGCAAGTACAGTCGTATGTGCATTTGTGGTCAAACATAATTCGCTGATTGGATGATTGGAAAACTGAGGTAACCGCTCAGGTTTGTAGAGGCGCGCAATGTGTGGCATTGGAGATGCGAGGCTTTGCCGAGTTACGGAGGGCAGACCCATCAGATCGGACAAGCTGTATGTGCTCATCGGCTTGTATGCGCCGTATGTTCACTTTGATCGATCCAATCCATCTCTGTTCTGTGCGTGAGCCACGTTGAATTTGGTTCACGTTAAGTATCTTTCACTGGACGTTATTGATCTGGCTCATGCAATCTTGATCAGTTCGCGTGGGTCCCATTTGATCCGTTTTGTCCACACAAGTGGCACGGACTAAGCTCGTTCAGTCGCCGTAGCACGCCGTATAATCAGCCTAAGCTCGTTAGCGCGGTGTGCTGTTTGCGCACTATTGGCCGAGCCAATCCGATTCGCCTTTATCCGCAGGCACGCCACTCATCAACTGTATAACCCCGAATGAATAATGTCGTGCTTCACTTACACGTGCAACTGTGGCCAGATCGCGTGGGCAGTGCTTCCTTTCCGCTAGTGCTAAGTGAAACTAGATCGATAACAAAGGCTACCAGCTAGCAACACGAAGAGTGACAGATGTCGAAGAAAGATTACGTGGCCGATGTGTGGGTAAAAGAAGTCGGCCATACAGAGTGTTGTGCTGTTTGAAATTGGTTAAGTGGATGATAGGCAGAATCGGGAAACCTGTCGTACCTCAGATGAAACTGTACAATAGATAAACCAAAGCTAAATATGTGGTCAATAATCAACAGAAAAGCTATTCTATAAAGTAATGTACAAAAGAGGCGCCACAGATTTCGCATGATCGCAACACGTAGCATCTAATGGAAAGGGAAATTCAAACATAGACCTATTCGAAAGATAGGATACAAGTTGAGAACGGATAAGCAATGTGCGCGCGACACTGTTGCTTGCGAAATTAGCTGAGCCGAAGTGGGATGTCGACATCATACATTCCTCTCTGGTAGACATTCGACATGAGCTCTTCTTTTTGAAACGAAACAAGCTTTCCTATCTTTGATGAAGGAGGGAGTAGACTGTTTGTTGACTGGACTTGCTGAACTATTCATCACGTTTTGGGAAACAGAAGAGGTGTCTCCACCTGTCGTGCTCATTTACAAAAATGGTCAGTGGACTTTGTGTGAAAATCATCGAGGCATTAGCCATAATTCCACTGCCACTAAACTTCTCACGGGTACCACTCTTCGAAGACTTAATGGTCTTCGTGAGAGCCGAATCAATGAAAACCACGCTGACTTCCGCCCTGGTCGTGGTTGTAGCGACCACATATTTACTCTTCACCAAGTTTTAGAGTATAGACACACAAAGAGATAACCGACTACATTGGTCTTCCTTGACTTCAAAGCCACCTTCGACTCTGTCAATCGCCCCAATTTGTGACACTGCCTATTTATGAAGGGTGTGCCACCTAGATTCCTTTATATGCTAAAGTCTTTACCGTGACTCCCGAGACCAGTTAAGGGTCTACGGGAGGCTGTCACCTGAGTTACTCAAGACAAATGGGGTTCACTAGGGTTGTCCCATATCTCCTTTCCTCACCAAATTTGTGATCGAAATGATCATGAATGACCCGGTTACTTCAGACTCTACTGGAGTGGACGTTCTGCCAGGTGGCCGGTTAACAAACCTTAAATATGCGGATGATATAGCTCTGACGAAATGGCTGTGGAAATACCGCTGGATAAACGGACGAGTAGCGCTGTACGCTTCGACATGTGCTTTGCGCCTTCAAAGTGCAAAGTACTGTTGAAGGACTGGACCGATACACCTCTGGTTCTAGCAATCACCGGACATCCATTAGGAGTGGTGGATCGATTCACATACCTTGGTAACTTTGTAACCGCTTCAGGTGGTTACATCACTGAGGAAGTAACTTCGTGTATCAGCAAGGCCTGTGTGCCCTTCCAGAAGGTCAACCAGCTATGGAGACGGCGGTATATCAGTCTATTAATGAAAGGTAGCATGTATAACGCTGCGATAAGGCCGGCGGTACTGTACGGATCAGAAACCTGACCAATTCGCAATGAAGACAGTAAACGCTTGGCCGTGTTTGATCACCGGTGCTTGCTAAGTATCGTTCACGTTTGGTGAGAACACCGGCTGAAGTCGGTTGAATTATTACTGCCTACGTTGACTAGATCATGTCCTTCAAAGTATGCCAATCGATCCCTCAATTCGGGGTGCATCATACGCCGTAGCTGCACCAAACTGGGCGTAACCGCGAGGTGGCTGATCGATGACGTGTTATAAAGGCATGAATAGCTTGGCTGAGAGATTTAGGCGGGTGCGTGCCGTCTTCGTGTATGGGGACCCCGGGAAGGTGTACACCAATGGCTGGAAACCCAACCAGACATGGCGCAGTTGCGCAGTCAGCGGCGTTCCGGCATTCGGTGTCTTGCACCTAGCCGTTAATCTTCACTCCATCCTGATTAATTCAACGCACTTCTTACTTTATTCCATAATTTGCCATCTATTTTTATTCAAACGTGTTTTCTTGCCGTTGATATTTATTGTTAATCTGTCGACGTGAGTCGTTTCAACTGGATTCGCCACAATTCGATGCGCAACGCGAAGCTCAGCTCGATTATCAAAGAAGAGAACGTTCTTCTATCTGCGTTTCAGATTAACCAGAGCTGCCATTGTCTAGTGGAAATTTGCTACGTGTTAACTATTCGCCAGTAATCATCTTAAAAGGTACACCATATGCCCAAAGAATAAGATACTAAAGAGGCTGCCATTGGTGTTTTGTGTTAAGGATTATCTGGTACGATGGTATAATTTCAGCAAAACATCATATCTGGAGTGAAATCGGATGTGCGGCTAGACAGAAACGCATTAGGTAAACACTCGGGATCAAAGTGGGAACATTTTACCAACACCGTGCAAGTACAAATAGATGGCCATAACTTGAAGACAAGGGAGCATCGGCGAAATAGATTCATCGTAGTATAGATTGCCGCATAAATACCTCAGCGTCATGTGTGTGTAGTATAGTGCATCGGCTAGGACAATGATGCTAGTTGTCTGAAGCCAAATGACGCAGAAGGTCAAGCGCAGAGTAGATGTGGAAGATGAAAAGCGAGATGTACAAACATAGCCCGGCAGAGTGGTTAGCGGTGCTTCTCACGTCATCATGTCAATCGTTGTGCACTAAGCCATCTCAGCGTCGTAAAGCAAAACAAGGTCATCCTTGCTAACTGATGAACGGGAGTATGTAGAAGTGACCAAAATAAGTAGAATTTATTTCACCACATTCGTTAAGTCCGCGAAGTAATCTGAAGATCGCTGTCTACTACTTAACTGCACAGCACATCGTCGAGGACAAGAATGCTTTCTGACAAGTAAGCAGCAAGAGATTTGAAGGCACGTCATATCTATGGACTAAAGGAGCTAATTCCTTTTTGACGGAGGAAATAACTATTCCCCCCGTGGTCCTACATACTTATCTTAAAGATGAAGGAAAATAGTTGACGTGTGCCAAAAGTTTAGCAGCACGACAAAAGTCTTAGCCTTCGTAATGCATGTGGTGATGTAAACAGGTACGCCCCTGTCATTGCTATTGTGCAGTCTCTCTCGTCATTAGGATTCAATGGATAAGAGAGCAACTGCTGGTATGGAAGTAGTATCATGTGTTTGAAGGCACAACAGCATAGGAAAACCTGGAGAGTCAGCTATGGTTTGAAAACTGCCTGGTAGTTATTAAGCGGCTGGACAGCTTCACCCGAATGACCAAGATCAGGTAGTTTTCTCCTCGACAATATCGTAGCACCTTCACCGTGAAGACCCATGAGGAGCCACAAGATGGCGAGGTTTATGATAAACTTGAATACAGACCGGTTCACTGGACAACTTGGTCAAAGCGGCATCCGGCAACGTCATCAGAGTGCGTCGCGACCCGAGGTTTAATGGACAGCATAGAAAAGTAGATGGTGAGTAGGAGGATTTTATTGACCAGGCTGTGCTCATAGTTTTGGGGGAGCGGAAACATGTATGCAATTGGCAGTGTGAAAGTGCGAGGTGCAGTTGCAAGCTCATCCGTTGTATTGGTAGCTGCATTAGCATCAATGAACGAGTGAATGCTGAAATAACTATGGTCATTAGAGACTTAGCGACAAGCTGGAGGGTACATGGTTGCGACCGGGACTACGCTCCGTCGGTAACGTGATTGGTTCAGTATCCTTGACCGGTTCCATCATGGAGACTCACATCGACCGTTGGGGAGTGCTCGAGAGGGATCCTTGTTACTTACGAACGCTTCCGCGAGTTCCTTACCCGGTTAATTGCAAACATGTCGCCAAATGAGTGGAAGTGAATTGGCGTGCGGCTAACCATGTCTCTCAAGGACCATGAGCAGCCTGTTTGGTGAAGTAGCCAATCCCAGAGTCAGTTGAGGCGTCTCGGCGTCTTATCCGATACTGCACTCCGGAATTACACAACTAGTAGGGAATGTATCGAATCTACAAGTGGTTATGAGCCGGCCTCATAATTGCCATGCTGTTAGCCCTCCAATGATTGGGAAAGGCCTTGGCCATCGCATACGGATCCGTGCTTGATATAGTACCGCTACGGGGCCACGGTGGTAGACGGATGGTGGTCGTACCCCACCTAAAAGTAGATGTCACCTTGGTTGTAAGGCTTTGGTTTGCAGCACGTTGATAAAATGCCCAAAAACCGAGAGAGGGTACCATGAACGGTCTTCGGTACAAAGTTCGTCTTGTCCCCGATTAATCCTACCCTTCCCAAAAGGGGAGGATCGTTGGACATGTCCAAAAGCTCGTTCTCAACAGCCCGGTCTTGACCACCGCTATTTCAACCGGAACACCACATGTACGTGTGATTGGTGCGTGGGACTGCAGGTCGGATACTGAGGATCCTATACACTCAGACACATGAGAGGTAGGCTAAATACCCAAGAAACGGTTACAAGTGTTCGGAATATATTACCGGAGGAGGCCCAATTCTGTCGGCAATTTAGTGTCGATGTTCTGTTGTGAATAAAGAGGGTCGAATCTAGAGAATCCTACAAATTCACCGAAGGTGAGGAACCTGTCGTATAACCGTCTACCTAGAGATCTGGACCCTCTAGTAAAGGAAATCACGCAACTGGCCTCTAGTGAGATGCTTCGAAAGTTCTGTCAGGTAGTGGAGTAAGGCAATACACCAGTTCAGAACTCAGTTATGCCTCAAACCGATGGCGCGAATAAAACTGGTTTGCGGCGTCAGCTCTATGGGGGGGGGGGGTGAGCGAAGCGCGTGGACAACTTGTCGCCCAAAGCTCGCTATCAAGCTAGTGAACCGATTCGAAAGTGCGTTGAACTCTTTGGCGCAGGTATGTGATCAGTAACAACCTGGTGTATGCAACCACCATTTGCATGCGCCAGTACTTTCGATAGAAAGGACTGTGAACAAATTCATTTCGAGGCAAATCGGATGGAGTTTGATGTGGGGCGAAAATTTCTCATAAAGGGCAAGGAAGCATGGATTATCGGGACCGTTAGTGGAAAAAGCGTCCTTGTTGACTCAATATCAGTACGGAATGGGATCCCCTGTTTTCATGCATGGATTGGAAGGCGTTGTCAGTTTGGGTAAGTGTGAGCGTGAGCAACTCCGTTTCCATGATTGTCCCACTGGAAATTGTGGAGTATGATCGACTCCGCCGAAAACAGATGTAAAACATCGGTATTCCAGGTGTTGCGAAGGATAAAACTGCCCACGTGAAGCAGTAGCATCTACGGCACCCTTTCTAACAGCTTGGAAACTCGTGCTTACCGAATCCAACTGAAGGACGTTTTCCTCAAAGGGAGGTGAAAATGTCCTGATGGATCTGAAGATATCGAACGTCTTTCATCATCGTTACCTACGGAGAGCCACTTGTGTCGATTGGCACCAGCGTATTTCCAACGGTCAGGCTCAGGAGTGAGTACCGTGAGTAGTGAGCAAGTAAGCTCGTGTCGTACTATTAGTGAGTAGTATGTGTAGAAACCAGGAGGAGCAAGGAAATCAGGAAAATCGTGGATCATCGTGGACGAAGGACGAGTGGTACACAAATCAGTCAGATGAAGGATGCGTAGTGGGGAAATTTACCTCCACCGATAGGTTGAGTGATGAGATGAAGCAGAACGGCGAGTTAGAAAGGTACCACGAGGGAAACGCGCAAATCGGGCCTGAGTGCCCATGTTCAATTGTACTGTTATACTATCTAGACGTTGGTTCTCCAATACATCACTCAGCTGTGCCACGTCGCGTTCTCAACAAGCTCATTAGACAAACGAATGAGTGAACTAGTTCCGCTGATTTAAACAGGCCTTGCGTATGTCTGCCCATTGCTTACTCAGGTTGGCCTCATCATGCTTACGTGATCTAAGGTGGCGTAAGGCTCGAGGGCGTCAAGTGCTGATCTATTGGAGGGAAGAAAGTCAGTGACAACTAGACTGGGTGTTTTGTTGATAGATCTCACCTCCCAGGAAGCTGTCCAAAGGACCCAACTTGTTCTTGCCTCGATATCCTACAGCATGACTGAGGTTTTATCCGAAGGGTAAAGTCGATTATGACGAGAAGAGTAAAGAGCTGCGAGCTTCACCGAGGATACCGCTTTGTGTTCGCACTAAAACCAGCTGCTTGTGACGGTGCGCAGTTGGTGAAGTGTAATCACGTAGACAAAATTTGCTGTGCCTATGCAGATTCGTTGTTGTTGACTAGGACATCGATGGATTTGTGTGACTTTAGATTTTTGGTGATGGTCGCTGTTACTCTCAAGAAGAAAGGGTGATGCCTAGTTCGCTTCGTAATGTGATCAGTGACGGTCGTAGACGACAGTGACAAAGATAATGACGAACCTTTCGAAGTTATGTGTGGACATCATGAAGTGATGGTCATTGGAATGGAATTCCGGTTGCAGCGGCCACATGTGTCACGTGATGTTCGCTAGGCATTGGTCAGCCAATAACATTGGAACACCTGACGACAAAAAACACTCGTATGGTGTGAGTGCTTTATTTGTTGCCAGAGGAGCAGGTACTTTGTCTAATGAGTAAGTAAACAGTAAAATCCCATGATGAAGGTGAACAGGTGTCCAAAAACCGCTGCAACGGTACCAAGATCAATGATGAATGGACCAAAACAGCGTGCCTCAGATGAACAATGAGTGACCGTTTGAAAAGAACACACTTTTGTATGGATGCGGTCACTGTATTGATGGAATGAAGCCATAAGAGATACATTTGAATAAAAGGAAGAGACGAACATGGACGAGCAAAACGGACCAAAGGAAACGCTACGGGATAACATACAAGATAGCTGGTGGTCAGGAAAGCATAAATCAACTTACCAAGACGTGGGAATATAGCAGGGACGTGTGTGATAAGTAGGCAATCTGGGAAATGAAGACAAAGGAGGCAACTGTGAACAGGGAGTAGGAGAATACTATGGATAGATCGTCACAACTGTCAGAACGCGGATAAACGGGTCCAAATTAATTGATCAGCAATCAAACCGTAAAGGATAATACAGAACTGGCAGGTCGGCTGGGAAAAGCAAAAAATAAATAGACTGGGTTGTAGGGAGGGAGGATCGTGATCTCCCATAAGCAAGAGCAGAATCTCAGCTCAGCGTGATGTACTTTGTTGCGAGGGAACAGGGGCCAAACATCGTCTGACCGTTTACATAGTTTCGTGGTCGATTAAGCTCAGGCGGATTCAAAACCAACTACCATAGATGGATTAAAATTCTCCCCGTTAGTGGATTAGAGAGGCCGATGGCTGTCTACGCCCAATAATTAAATAGTAGAGAAAACAGCTCAGAGGTATAAGTGAAGCTCGATCGGCGTACAGTATAAACACCCCAAATCGGTTCCGACAGAGGGAGGACATAATTCGCTGCTCATTGATTTGCAACTGTCTTAACGCAAGGTAGATAGATTTAAGTGCGAATCCGCCATAAGTCCTCGGTGGTTGAATAAAATTGGAGTGAACAAATGATTGGTCAATTTGAAGTCCTTGTTGTGTGAATGGATTGCAAAGCACAATCTCAATGTGCACCGGGATTCGCAGTGAAGTGAATCTTAAGTAATTCGATCACTAGGACCGTAGCTGAAGCGGATAGAAATTAGATATTGCCCGCCCGAAAACACCGCACTCCACGAAACGTATCGACCTTATTTGATCGCATCAAGTAGAAACAGCAGGGATCGAACCATCAGTACTTTTAGTAACCAGAGAGAAAAAGGAACAAAACATATTCCAAAAGGTTAACGAAGTCCTATTAATGACACAAGTTTGTGTTACATGTTGGCCGTTTTTTGTGGTTAGTAAACAGGCACCGGTCTCGTCTTCTCGAGCAACCAATCAGAATGGCTCGAGGGCGAGACAGTGGGAGCACACATCCAATCGGTGTGGTAAGAAAACACAACCCCGTGTCCTTTGAAAAACATGAAGCATACACGAATACATCATAGCAATATGACCTGAACCACGCTAGCTGGACTCAATCGCACACGACTAGATCACACTGGATCGGGATAGCCGCAGTTATGTAAATTCGGATTGGACCATCAGCCATCTGGAATACTTAGGACAAAATGTAAACATGTAAGGTTCATCATCATCATCCATTCGAAATGATGCTCCGCTGCAGTACAACCACAGTGCCGTAAAGAACAAGGAATAACAAGACGGAGAGAAGGGGGAAGTAGCGTAAAAGCATGTCTTAAGCAAGCATTCAGAATCATGGCACCTACAGGCTGTGTGAATATAACTTTACAAACAGCTGAGTATCGCGCAAAGATAAGGCGACATCAGCGAGGCAGCTACCTTGTGCCTCTCACTGCATCGTGTCATAATCACTCATTACCCCACAGATAACTCAGCACCAAACACACTTTAAACAGGCACTTTCACTAGGAGACGACAGCAAACACGCCACGTCAACCAACTGCAAGCCATGTTCTACAACATCTCAAGAAAGCATAAGGCAAGTCAAGTGGACTCCAGCCAGGAAGGCGGGATGGAAGGACGGCACCCAGTTTGGTCGTCAGTGACTTCATTTCCCGCTGCCAAGTTAACTTTTGTCCACCTCAAACCTTGCGCCACCCTACATCTGGCAGACGAAACAAGGTCCTCGTCGGTAAGCGATGACCGAGCACATGTAGAACGTGCTAAAGTTAACGCAATTTATTCAGTGCTATCTGTGGTTCTAAGGAAATATCTTGAGCATCACTGCCTAGCACTCGTTTATGCACATCACCATAACGGACATGCGGGTGTCACCCGACGCCAGCAATACTTCGCAGACAACGATGATCAATGACGTCAAGGCGCTGCAGTTCCTCAGATCGGAGGGTCGAAGTCTCACTCTCACGGAGTAGGATGGCTCTCACTGTGGCCTTGTAAATATGGTCCATAGATGAAAAAAACTCCTTTCTATCCAGAGATGTCTCAAGTTAAAGAAGGCAGTTATAGTCCTTGCGATACGTGAACTGACTCCAGTGGTTATGCGCCCATCACTGCAAACGCAGTTGCCAAGGCAAGTGATTGATCAAATACCTCGAGTTTCTCGCCATCAAGAGTCATGGGGTCATCAAGTGACTGGTGGTCGTACAACAACACTGCACTTTGAAGGTGCGAAGCACATACCAAATAATGGGACAACTCTAGAGAGTTTAATCAGCAAGCCAATATCGTCCACATAATTAAAATCAACATGCCTTTCATCAGGCGAAACCTCAAAGCTTGCATCGTGAGGGTCTGCAAGTGAACACTGCATGATGGGGCCGCATACGAAGTTTAACAGAAAGGTGCAAACTGAACAACCCCGATGAATGTCGGAAACCTATCCCACAAATCACCGTAGGCCCTGACGCGGCCTGTGGTGTTCGAGTACAATGCATGTAAAATGCTCACATTTTTCATGGGAACACGTTTCCGCCCAATATCTCGGACAAAATGGGTCGAACGACTGAAACAAAAGCATTCATGAAGTCGGTCGGCGATAAGTGTGGCGCTATTCTAGCACCTGCCGCAGAGCGAATACATGGTCTCCATCCTGAGCTCCGTCCTGAATTGAAGTCTGTTTTCTCTTCCCTAATCCGTGATTCCCGTTCCGCAGTGAGGCGACGGATGAGAATTGAGGCCAGTACTTTTAGCACAACTGGCATTAGGCTAACAATTCTGTGGTCAGCCCAGTCGGCGCGACTGTCCTTCTTATATATTGCCACTATAATCGATTCACTCCAGTTAGCTGGAATAATCTCGACCTTCCAGACTTGCTCGAACATGGATGTCAGCGTTTTGCAGAGGAGCTCATCACCATCATTAAATAGTGCGGGCACGAGGGTATACGGGCCAGCAGCTCGAAAACGATTAAGGGCCGCGATCGTGTTCCTGACTTCAGCCTCTGACAGATTCTAACCTAACAGTCCATGGCTCAGCCTGCATCAGCTGAGTAGGAAGGGGTAAAGGAGCGAGGGGGCCAAATGAACTAATCTTGAAAATGTTCCGCCCAACGAGCCATACAGCAGTAATTATTGTGGATCAGAAGACATGTGCTGTCTCTGATTTTTTCATCGACGCCTGATTTTCTGGGACCACTGGTGTGGACTTATTGGAAGAGCTTGCGGTAATTGTCCGCTGCTCCCGCCTACTTCATTTCTTGAACCCCACTATCCCACCAGATTTTTTGTCAGCACGGAGACTCCGTTTTGGTTCGCGTCTAATAGTCCGTCTGACCACGTGCTCAGAGCCAGCCGGGAACTTTCTTCTGGATTCCAACTGGTTCACCGAACTCTAGGATATGCACTGACTGGCGCGGTGACGAGTGATAGTGCCGCAAGCAGAACGCCCCGCATCGTGCATAGTGGTCCAGATCTTATTCTATTGAAGCTCAGTGCCATTAGGATGACAGAGCGAAACTTCGGTACGCAGGTCATCCTGATAGGCTGAGATAATTTTCAGCTGCCAATCGAGGAATGCTCTTGGTATGCCTCCAGGTAAAGTTGATGGAAAAACGACAGCGTACCAAGGTATGATCAGAGTCAACGCAGATATTCCAAAACGAGTGACAGTCCAGTACGGAACTACGCATCGTGGAACTTACAGCAATGTGCTGAATTTGGATCCATAACTTGTCAGCTATATGCAGTCACCAAGCGGCACTTCGGTGCCCACTGTGTTTAAAAGCAGTGTCAGTAAGAAACAGTTGACGCTCCACACACTTCTGCAACAGACACTGTTGTCCGTAAGGTCGGAGTTCAGCCCATACTGAAGACCTGACTGTCTACTTGTCCATTCATATCCTCTGCAACAAAAACGATATGCGTAGCAGCGTGTTCTTTTCGTGGTAGAAGGCGTCCTTCGCAGCATCAGCACTGCAGTCGGTGGGGCATAAGTGGAAACCAGCAACAAACAGCGTCTAGTACTACTTCGTAAATCAACTTTAGTTGACGTCGTCAAACGGGCTCCCCACAAACGGTTGTTCACGGGAATCCAATCGAGCAACGATGAATTAGTCTTGGAGCTGAGAATGATGCGCACACCAGTTTGACCCATGATTGCTGCATCAGCATCTCTGGATGTGTATAAGCAATAGCGAGAGAACAAGCCGGGCGCAGTTAATTCAACAGCCCCATTAGGGTCATTGATCCTAGTTTCGGACACACAAGATATGTGAATACCCAGCGTGTCCAACGTGCATAGGAATGCAGCCTGTTGACCTATTTGTCTTAGAGTGTAAATGTTGAATGCCGACAGGGAAACGGGACAGTGTGGCCTTATAAGCTGTTAGCGATTGGTGTCCAGTGAATGTTGCGGGAAGGTAGCTGCAGATGGTATGATTCCAGTGACATTGCGGTTGCTGTTAATTAAGCCGTGGAGTAGAGAAGAAAAGCTAGTAGTGGGGGGTTGGGGGATTAATGGAAATAGATGGAAATGTAAGAAGGGTGGCGCCAGCAGTACCATGTTTTCGCTAATATGCGCTGCTGTATGCTTAAGATAAGGCGACCTTTGATAAGCTGCGCCACGACCGGTGCAGAATGTGATTGAATTGTGAAGTATGTGGAATGAGATGTTGTCAGGGCCCCCAGCTATAGTCAAGAAGACGATTAGAGTCCTCGACCAAAGGCTTTGGCTCAAAGACCTGTCCACAAATCAATGTGGGTGGCAATGATCTGGTTTCCAATAGATGGACGCCATTTCACTTCAAGCCCCCAAACTGGAGGAGCAGGAGACTGAGTCTGTCTGACCTCTAACCACTGAATGCCCTGATAGAAATGGCTCCCAAGGAACCCGGAGCACCCACCCAGTGTAGCTCAATGGGTCGATCAGGTACGCACACCATCGCACCACGATAAGTACTAGTCTCATTGTGATGAAATGTGCAAGGATGCAGAAATAATGCCACAAAGTAACTGTTCTCATGTTTCTAAGCTATAACCGTGTGTTCGGAATGCGACAGCCAATCACAAATGGGACCACGGTTGGCTTTGAAGCTAAGCTAAGTCATTTCAACCATCGGAATCGCATCAGAAGTGGAGACATTCTCAGCACTGCTTGCTCGTTGCACCCCGTCACTTATTTCGTCAATGGCTGGAGTGAATACCAATCATAATTTACCGAACCAAAATGAGTTAGTTCGGTTGTAAAAAGCTATCAACTAACCCAAAATTTGCAAACACAAATGGCTCGCAGCCGAAAGAAGACATCGAGCAGGTAGTAAGCACATTGTAATATGACAAAAGTTAGGTACGTCGCACCAACCATGTAAATAAATAAATAAATCATTTGTTCTCGACTGTGCCAGACACATCTTCAAGGGTATGATCATGGCTGAGAACTATTCACCAATGAGTGCGTGAGCGATAGACAGGTCCCAACAAGCGTATGCATGAGCAGCCAATGCTGGGCGTATAAACATCCGGCTGGCGATGGTGACTCATACGCCACAGAGACTGTTTTATATCAACAGAGGTGAGCCCAGAGTCAAATGAATCTCAAAAAGTTAATCATGAACCTTTTTCTAATATTCATGTTGAAAAAGATCAACGCTGGACGCTTGCTATTAGGAGCATCAAGCTCTGAATAACTTGGCGAAGGGGGGCATGAAGGAACACAGACAATTTGAGTGCAATAAAATTTCCCTACGCACACATCAGGAGTGTGAACGACGAGTGTATTCACGAAGCTAAATACAACGAGGAATGGTGTCGTAGAAACCAAAGCAGTAAGATAATTCATTCACCTTTTCTGTTGGAGAAGTGAGGGTCCAGTTACAACTGCCAATTCCGAAACCGGCGCTTGAGCCACAAACGGTCAGCAACCCGAAGATATCCTGTACAAAAGACGAGTGAGAAGCAGAATAAATATCGCTGTAAACGCAAGGTAATCAATGCTTCGGAAAAGGCCAAACTGTGGGCTTGGCCAATGGCATGCATATCTCAAGTAGAAATTCAAGTATCAGTAAATTGACTAAACGGCAAAGAGAACTTGGCCCGTGTGTAGACAATGAGCATCGACCGTTTAGAAACAGGGGACAAAAAGTGTCAAAACTTGAAGTGTAGACAGCATGCGAACTACGCTGAACCATGATGAATTAACCCACTTTCTGCTGTTTTAAATATTCTTCATTTTCATTTATGTTATAGAAAATGGTACAGAGACACTCACATGAAGTTTACGTTTTGCAAATTTAGATTATTGTGAAATTTATCGGGATTTTTCTGTCCTTTGTAAAGGACGTCAGCAAGAAATGACTTCGAAATATAGGTGAAAACATAAAACTGCGTTTTCTGGGCAAAAAGATAATTGTTTGCAGATTTGATATGATAGTGTTTAATATTTATTTAAAGAGATAATGTAATAGGCAGGTGCTCGTTATAAAAGAATATAAACCTCGGATTTACACAAAAAATGTGTTGTATCATTCATGCGTGGTATGTCGCAGAGCAGACCATGTGTAGTGGCACATCACACACTAGGCAGAGTAGATTAGATTAGCCTACTTCCCACAATGCCGACATCTTTGTTTCGGCACAGATTCCAAGTGGTGCCTGGAGCAAGATTTCCTGATAATGCCTTCAACCTCATATCGTTTTCTGCTTGGTGTAAGAAGAGTTTGGGGTACATTATTCTCTGATAGCAACATCTGCAAGTAGACTTTGACGACAACTCGTTTTGAAGGAAAGCATGTCTTGCTGCTTTTGCTCATTTGTAAATGATTTGCTGTATAAAATTCAAGCATTATTCATTGCAGCATCCGATAGAAAGGCGAATAGCGGGCACCACCACTTTTGCTGCGAAATTTGATTCTATAGTGACTAAGGTGTTCTACTTGGTAACGATACTAGGTTGTACAACAAATATGTGTATTTTGTTCTTCGAGGAACACCTCTTCACTTTTGTGGCTGGCTTGCCGAACTAACTCCTCGTGGTGCCAGTATAGTAGTTCGGTACCCCGTTCCGTGTACCCGTGTACCCAGTTCCAGCGAAGTAAGCGGCGACAATGTTCCACCTCGGTGCAGCATTGTATTTCCAGCAATTGTGCTGATTTCTTGGGGAGTATTGGGCGCCAGTTTGGTGATCTACCAAACAAAGACGCATAAACTGAACATCCAGTCAGCGCCTCCCAATGGGCGAGATTTCCTGAATTCGCCCCGCTGCCTTGCGGGTAGGTTATTTAACTTAAGACTCGGGGTGGAGTCCCCTAAGTCAACTCCCTACTTCGGCTTGGGCAACTGGGTAGTATCACGCCCTCTCACAAAACCATGGACTGTACTACAACGTGCACACCAGCTACCGTTTCTGCTTCTCTCATTCACGCGACTTCATCACACGCCAATTGTTTGTTTGCTAACAATCGTTACTTACGGTTACCCGATTCATGTGTTCAACTAACTGGCTGTGATTCCGGTTGCGCCGCGAACCACGGAATTCAACCTATGGCTCTCCTTCGTCCCCGATCCTCGTTCCGTCTGGCGTGCTTCAACGTTCGGACACTCATGCAGAATGGACAGCAAGCCGGTCTAGCGTGCACCCTAGAGTCCCTCGACATTGATGTCTGCTGCCTTTCAGAAACCCGGTTGCAAGATACCAGCACTGTGCTTACATTGACATCCCCCACTGACCACGAAGCCAGATATCACCTGCGTCTTTCTGAAGATCCAGAAGCAGCCTCAGCGGGTTTGGCTGGTGTAGGTATAGCACTAAGTGGCAAGGCCGAGGCGGCACTACTGGACTGGTTCCCGATTAACAGCCGACTATGTGCAGTTCGGCTTCGGGGTTCATGTAGAATCAACAAGCACCGCGAAGAGAGACGCAACTTGTTTGTGATCTCCGTGTACGCTCCAAATGACTGCAGTGGCGACTCGGTCAAGGACGAATTCTACCGGGATCTACATCAGCTCTTGACTAATGCTAAAAAGTCGGATGTCGTTATCCTTGCTGGGGATTTTAATGCACGGGTTGGCCGCCTGTTACCATACGAACGTCACCTTGGTGGTCATCACGCGCTCGATGAGAACCGCTCTGATAACGGAGAACGGCTTCTCACATTGTGCGAAGACAACCATCTGTTTCTCTCGAGCACTAACTTCAGGCGTACGAAGAAGCGTTCCGCAACGTGGCGTCCCCCTTCGCCAACACAACCGTGGTCTCAAATTGATCACATTGCAATTAGCTTCAGATGGCGCGGCAGCGTACTGGACTGCAGGTCCTTTTGGTCCACCTTCGTTGACTCAGATCATGCACTGGTCTGCGCGAAAATCTGTATGTGTTTTGAGGGGTCCCGAAACACGAAGCACCGCAAGATTGATGTAAACAGATTAACTGATTCCTCTGTCCAGGCGAGCTATCAGTCTTCACTGGCATATGCACTCAGTTGCAATCCACCGCAAGAAGTGGAGCAACACTGGACTTGTATACGGAAAGCGATGACCATTTCCGGACAGTCAAGCTGCGGCCTAACTCGACGCCCCCTAAAGGCTTGGATCTCTGCTCGTTCTCTGGAGCTGTTCGAACGCTGCAAAGATATCCCGGCGGAATCAGATTGCAACGAGCGGCGCCGTTCTGCCAACCGGCTGCTCAAGCACAGCCTACGCAAGGATCGCAAGGCATGGTGGTCCGAGCGTGCTTTAGAGATGGAGACCACTGCCCTCTCTGGCAATACTCGCAAGCTTTTTCAACTCATACAATCCACTGGCCCCAGGAAGCCTGGTGTCAGTGAGGTCATTTGTGAGGTGGATGAGCCTCCGATCACCAACCGACAGAGGCGTATGGACCACTGGCCGAGCACTTTCACTCGCAATTCAACTGACCTCCACCATCTATCAGTACATGCAATGCACCTTGTTGTCCACCCTGGCTCGTTTCCACTGAATCCACCCAGCGAAGCGGAAGTCTGCCTCGAAATTCGACGCTTGAAGCAGTTCAAGGCTGCCGGCTCAGACGGACTTCCTCCGGAACTGTTCAAGTACGGCGGTGTGACGATCATTAACCAGCTGACCGCGCTGTTCACAAAAATCTGGCATGAAGAGAAAGTGCCTTCCTCTTGGGGCGAATCAGTTATTGTCCCGATTTTCAAGAAAAGCGCTCGCACTTCATGTGTAAATCATCGCGGGATCAGTCTTATTTCGGTTGCCTCTAAGCTATTGGCATCCATTCTGCTTCGCAGACTATCCCCAGTACGTGAATCATACTACCGTGAAGAACAAGCTGGTTTCCGTCCCGACCGCGGATGCGTGGATCAAATCTTCACGCTCCGCCAGCTCCTCGAACATCGCCACATTTATCACAGGCCCACTATCGTTGCATTCCTAGACATACATGCCGCTTTTGACTCCGTTGATCGACCTGCTTTATGGCGTTGCTTGCTAAAGAACGGGGTGCCAGAGAAATATACCGCCATCTTACGAGCACTTTACCTTCATACATCCGGCAGAGTGAGGGTCTATGGCAAGCTTTCCTCGCAATTCGCTGTCAATAGCGGTGTGCGACAGGCTGCCCTATGTCCCCATTCCTCTTCAACTTCGCAATCGAAGACGTTCTGTCGAATGCTCTAGAAGGTTTCCAACATTTTGGCTTAGAGCTTCTACCGGGTGAGCGCGCGACCGACTTGGATTATGCTGATGATATCGCCTTACTTGGTGACGATTCTCAGGGTATGCAACTCATTCTGGATCGTTTGGCGGTTGAAGCATCTAAGTATGGCATGAGCTTCGCCCCATCGAAGTGTAAAGTATTGCTCAAGGATTGGCTTTCACCTGCTCCCGTGCTCACTCTTGAAGGTGCACAACTTGAACAGGTAGACAGTTTCGTCTACCTTGGGAGCTGTGTTTCTGCTGACGGCACTATCAACAAAGAAGTTTCTCTTCGCATCGCTAAAGCTCGATCAGCATTTGCCAATCTGAGGCACTTGTGGCGTCGTCGCGACGTCTCATTCTCGCTAAAGGGCCGCGTTTACAGCGTATCTGTACGCTCAGTGTTGTTGTATGGGAGCGAGTCCTGGCCGATTCGCGTGGAAGACATGTGTAGTCTTTCTGCCTTCGATAACGATTGCTTAAGGAGGATTGCTCGTGTTTGGTGGCAACATCGAGTTAATAGTAATGACGTTCGACGTCGCATCTTGGGGAATGCGAGTATTCCTTTCAACAAACTGGTTTTGTTGCGCCAGTTGAGATGGCTCGGTCACGTCCTACGCATGGCACCTGAGCGTCTACCGCGTCGCGTTCTATTCGCTCGTCAAGGACCTAGCTGGAGGCGAACGCATGGTGGTCAGCCTTCTACATGGCGGCAGCACATGAAATCGCTGACGTCGTGTCTAGCCGCTGTTGGATCCGTGCGTTTTCCAGGATGGGGACCTAAAGATGAGGAGCGCCAATGGCTTAGCACTCTTGAAGACATGGCCCACAACCGGAATCAGTGGAAGAATTGTGTACAGAAATGTACTGATTCACATGTTTAATACTTCAAGGATTGAAAATGACAAAAAAGAGAAAAAGTGGCGTGTGAAAAACAAACTAAAAATGTTTTGTTCTACTTTTTGTCAAAATGTTCCTTTCTTCCTGCGGCATATTAGCTGAAGTGTGTTGCTCACTTTCAACTAATGTGCGACGATGATTATGACGCGATGACTTCCCCTTATCCGCTCATGTCCTTGGCTCTTTTGTTGGCTGTCTAGTTGCTAGACTGCTGAGATTACGTACACATATATTTCACTTTTGTCGGGGGATATGCACCAACACAGTTGCTGGCAATAGTCACAATGGAATTAGCACTCCAAAACAAAACGAACACGTCATCTCGTCTATCAAACCTGTAGTCGTAAGTATCCCTGTT